ATTTACTGAGCCCCTACTTCGTACCAGACACTGTACTAAATACTGCAGATATAATGGTGAACAAGATGCTGTCCCTGTCTTCAAGGAGTTTAAAGTCTAGTGGGGAAGATGAGCAGAGGCCACAAAGGGATTTATAAGAGGGTATAGGGGACAATGGAGTATGGTGGAAAGAGCAGTAAACTAAAAGTCAAGAAACCTTAGTTCTAACTCAGTTTTCTACCATTCTAAAAAAAATAAAATAAAATAAAATTTATAATGTAGATAAGGAAAACAAATGGCAGATTCATTTGATTCAAATACAGTTGAGAAAACCTATTCTTTTGTTACTTCTTAACAGATAAAGTGCATTTGAAATACCCCAAAACTATAAACAATGCTAAATTTTTGCTATAAACAATTTAAATTTTATTTTGACCACTTTTAAGTGTACACTGCAACCATCACAATGCTAATTCTTTTTTAATAAATCCATAAGCTACATTTCATTGTCAGCACTAACTCCATATTGTTTTTCCTAAACATAACTTGGAACTGAAACAATATTTTCTTATCTAAGAAAAAGGCATATTCTAAATAAGAGATGCAATTCACAGTGTTACTATAATTGATTTTCTAGCCTAAGGTTTCCTACCAACTAAATCCAATTAATTGTCTTAATAACTATACTATGAATTGAACTCAGCCCACAACCTTGGATATTTGGAAGAAAATGAACCTGAAATCCAGAAATGTGTAGTACTGATAGCAAACATTTCTTAACAGTAAAATCTTAAGTGAATATTTTCCTATTAATTAGTCCCATTGTGGTTCAATGATATAGAGTAAGAGAAAGGATGGGCTAGGAGCTGGAAAAGAAGATATATAACAAATATTCAAGATCTACACATAATCAAAAGCACACTCCTCTGTATAGGCTTTGCAATTTTGCCCATTAAAGAAGAATTTTCTGGGGCTGGCTGGTTAGCTCACCTGGGAGAGCATGGTGCTGATAACACCAAGGTCAAGGGTTCAGATCCCCATACTCACCAGCCACAAAAAAAGAGAGAGAATTTTCTAAGCTCCTTGCTAGTCATTCTAAGTAACATATTAACCTGCTCCCCTCACACCTTTTTTTTAATCCCTGTGGTAACTTTCGTGACACCTTCTGCTTTCAACCCAAGAGGTCAGGGTCTGAAGAATCACAAGGCCACTATCCCCATTAAAAGAATGAATTACAAGTGTAGAAGGGTATAGACCAGTGATTAAGTAATCTACCCACTCAATATCTACTCCAACTAATTGGGGCAATTTTCCCTTGGTATCATATTTGGATTTTAATATGTTTCTTTTTTTCTAAATTATTTCAAGTTATGAGATATTAATTATTCACATAATAATTAGATTAATCACAGATTTCATAAAGCAACATTTATTGGCCTCAGGGAGTATTTACTGTAAACCTGTTTGGAATGAATGATTTGATTTTTTTCTCCTTTCAGGAGATTCCTCTTATAATTGTTAAGATATGTCTGTATAAATGGGGGAAATCTATACACACAATTAGGAACTGATAATTCTTAGTCAAGGAATCTTGAATTTTTTTTGACTTTAGAGGGCATCTATAGTTCAAGCTCATACCCACAATGCAAAAGTCCCATCTTCACCTGAATGAAAAGGACACTGGCTTACCTGCTTTCTGGGTACTGATTACATCAATCAAGCCATAGTGGCTAGGATACAGTGGCCATTCAATAAATGTCAAATGAGTGAATAAATATTCTGGGAGGGGTCTTGCTACAGAAGGACCTGCTATTACCTAAAGAAGGGGAGGCTTCTAAGGGAAAGAAAATTTTACTCTCAGAAATAACAGAAGAAAATCAAACTGCTCCAAAAGAACATATACAAAGAGGATTCAGAAATAGAAACTACATCAGGGATCACAACAGTAAGCATTTTATAAAATTCTTAAACTTTGGTAGCTTCTTTTGGTCATATTTATGAGTGACTAGCAGTAAAATCCTTAAGACAGAAAGGGTCCAGGTGTGTGTCAACAGGGGCTGCAAGAGACAGATCTATTACATAGCGCTGGTGGGAGGGAGGAGCTGAACCCTAGGGATAAGGGTGAGCAATGTCAGCTTTAAATAAAAAAGACAACTAGCTGGGGTAAAGACTATCTTTTATCTCTATATTAAAACAGAGCATGGCATGTAGCAGCTGTTCACAAAATGTCTGTTGAATGAATGGATGGATGATTCCTTCCTTCCTTGCTTCCTTCCTCTCATTTCTCCTTCCTTTCCCTTTCCTCCTCCCTTCTATCTATCTATCTATCCTTCCTTCCATCTAGTCCTTCGTTATCCTCCAGCATCCAGCATATATCCAATTCCTCACTCCTTTAATCCCTGGGGCCTGCAAAGTCTAAAGGATCAAGAGATTCCTTGACAAGGATCTTAAAAACTTTCAATTTACCCTCTTGAAACCTATAAAGATATATTTTAGGTCCAGGCACTGAAAAGAAAATCAACTCTGGCTTCACTTCCTACAAAGTGTTAAAGTCCAGAGGGAAAGTCCACGAATACTCTAGGACTGAAGAAGACTTTGTTGTTTCTTTCTGGGATAAAAGGTCCACACTTTGCAGCAGAGCAATTATCACGATTCTATCCTAAGGATGCCAGAACTGGGTAAATATTACTTTTCTTTAAAAAATCAGGTTAGAGGCTAGCTGGTTAGCTCACTTGGGAGAATGTAGTGCTGGTAACACTGAAGTCAAGGGTTCGGATCCCCACACCCACCAGACACACACACACACACAAAAAGACACACACACACACACACACACACACACACACACACACACACACACACACAC